TTAGAAATATTTTTAGGAAACTTATATATGTCAAAACTATAAGTTAAAATCTTAAGTTCACTAAAATATATAACAAAATTTGATACATGTGAATACACAAAAATTGAAAAAACACATAATAGTCCCACTTTGTGAATAATTACTGAAAATTTAAGATATATATGTAGCAATAATCACATGTGTGTAATAAATAATAAATCATTAAGTATATTATACACATTAATCACCGAGTTGACTGGGTTTTACAACACTGCTCAGTTCAGTAAGGGGCCGATCGGGGAGTACTCGGGATTCTGTAACTCGCCTCGGTTAGGGGCCGAGTAGTGAGTACTCGAAGGAGTAATCGGCAAACTCGTTGAGTTTTACAATACTGCATACCATAATTCTCCAACCAGAGTAAGAGAGAAATTGAGATAGAAGGATCAACACATGGAAATTGCATCTCATCCCTAGTGATTTCTTTCATATCTTTGAGAACCAGTTAATGAATTTCAAAGCTTTGAGTTTTATTTTTCCGATGAGATTTTCATGTGTGTTTAGGTTACCGATGGTAGATGAGAAAGGAGATGGTCAAACTTTGGAATAGAGGGTGACAGTGATGGTATCGGACATGGAGGAGGAAAGGCGGAAGAGGGCGTCGAGGACGCCGATGGTAGTAGATGTGGACTTTCAGAGGTGCCAGTGGTCAATAAAGAGGAAAGAACGTTTGAGTTACAAGGTGAGGGCATGAGGTGACGATATAACAATGGCGACAGGTGGGTGACGGTAAACAGGTGGGTGACGGTAATGGAGGTTTACCGATGGTTGAAGAGAGTAACGAGATAGATACATGGGTTTGGGTTGACATGAAAGAAATGGAAATGGGTAGGAAGTGGTGTAAGACCTACAAATCTAAATACCATTTCTTTTTAATAATAAGTAATAAATATATAAAAAAAAAAAAGAAAAAAAAGTATCATTAAGGGCAATATGATCAATTCAAGTTGGTTAGGGACTAAAGACACAACAAAAACGTATTATGGGGACCGTTTGACTTAAAAAATGTTGTTAAGGACCAAACGTGTAAATTCCAAATCATAGGTACCAACCGTGTAATTTACCTAGTTAGTGAGTTAAATTTGAAAAAGCTGCAACTCAACCAAGGGCACATTTGGTGGCAACCTTATGAAAGTTTTTATGAGTTTTTAGCTTTAAAAAAGTCTAATTAAAGAAAACTCGTTTCAAAATACGAGCTTAAAACATTTATTTTAAGCAAAAAAAAAAAAATCCAAAAAATAGTTTAAGTAGTTTTTAACCTTTACGTTTATGTGACTTTGTATTTTTAAAAACTTCCGGCTAGGGTGTTGAATATTTATACAAATAAAAGCTTTAGCTTTTGGTTTCCCGGGATCAATTAGTTTTAATTTCCAACTTCCCGGTATCAGTTTGTATTTTTAAAAGCTTTCAACTAATTTTCCGAACATATCTGATACAAATAACAGCTTCATCTTGCACTTTTCCGTTTATGTCAATTTTGACCGTGCCTCGAGTCAAATGACTTAAGCCTTTTTCATCCTTGAAAGTTGTTTAAAGAATTCCGATTTAATTTCGTAATGGTTTTTGTACACATTATCTTAGTTATTTATAACATCTACCACCTAATATCATTTGACGTATTTTGACCTTTCTTATATTTATTTGTTTTTACAATTGCCTAACACACCCATTTGTATCATCTATACACATAGACCTTGAATCTTTTATGTTTCTTATATTTATTTGTTTTTACAATTGCCTAACACACCCATTTGTATCATCTATACACATAGACCTTGAATCTTTTACAAACATAAAAAGTATAGAATTTATAAACCTTTCAAAAATTACATTTTATCCTGGAAATATTTTGATAGTATTAAGCATTCATCTTTCTTAAAAGGAAAATCTATATATTTAAGGTTTTGAAAATCGGACCGTACATCGAACCGACCGTCTTACCGGTTCGATGGTTCAACTGGTCCAACCGGTTAGACAAGTCTCAAAAACCAAAAAAACCAGATGATGTTATAATTACATTATTATTATTAATTTTAATTATATAAAAATTACAAAAAATGATTTTTTTTTTTAAAATTGTTGGTTTTTACCGGTTTTACCAGTTCAATCGGACCGGTTTTTAGCGGTTCGACCAGTTCACATAATGAACGGTTTTTTGGCCTCTAAGAATCAGTTTTGGGAGTGGTTCCTGGTTGAACTCGCCTGTCCGGTTCGGATTTCAAAATTATTATAGAACCATAACTTTGATTTCTTATATTAAGCTATTCTTAAATATTTACAATATATAACGTATTGAGCATAAAATAGTAACTCCAAATGAGAACTACATATCCAGTGTTCTAAGAAGCATCGTCTGCAATTTGGATATATCATTAACTGAAAAACCAAACGTGGGGATTTTGTACTAATTTGAATATTGACTTCAAACTAGTCAAACATGTTTTTTTTTGTAATATGAAATTACGTACAAGCCCATGTCTTTTTGGCCATTGAAATCTGATCTGACGGCTGTAAAAGCATTACTTTATTATTTTTTCAATGTGCTGACGATGGAATATGACTATGATGCCCCTGATTTGGCGAAAGTTCATTGAACACAAAAGCGCAAGAAAAGAGAGTGAGGGCATTTACGTAATACACCAACACGAATTGTTTTTCTTTTTCTAACGTGGGGTTGTTGAAGCCGCCTAGGGAACATTCTTGAGAAAATTTAATAAATTACTATTAGAGTTTTACGCTGTAGAGGTAATTTTTTTATTTTGATACTTTTAACCTTAATTTCAATCTTAGGAAATATGAAATTAAAGGTTACCAATTACACTCCAACTTGGAAATGATTGGTGTTACAATATAATGATTATAAACTTCATTTTCTATTTTTTCTAATAATATTTTCCGTTAATTAGAAGGTGATAAATGCAATAATTTTTTTATTTTTTATTTATGTTTTAGAAGGAATTTATTTAAACCATTTTTACCCATTTATCATCTTTTATGACAAAAGGATAACATTATGGGTGACTTAATAAAATATTTATGTCAAAAAACATTTTTGAAAAGAGCATATTGTATTGCAATTATGTAGTTAATGGCCATAGGTCCTTCCAAAAGTTAAAAATCCTTATCTGATGATCTGACTTCTTGCTAACATCACAAACAAGTTGAGTACGTATTCTCATACCAAAATTCTTTTGACTGTTTTTTTTACTACACAAGCTATATATTAAGAAGTGAGCTTGATATAGTGTGATGATGTTATACCGATCAGTGTTAATGTTGTAGCATGCAGACGTGTCTAAGAAGAGATAAACCGTAACTTAGATGGTACCATTAGTCGATACAAAGCATGCTTAGTTATAACAGAGTTGTTACATAGTGCTTAAGTTGATTATTTTTAGACATTTAGTCGAATAGTTAAGCCTACTTTCATCTTTCTTGGATTGCTAATTTGTCAAATTGATGCTAATAATGTCTTCTTGAATAATTAATGATGTTGATGAAGTAGTTTATATGGAGCGTTCATCTTGATTATAAATGGACATTGGCAGCTTGTATCATGTTTTCCTTCTTAATTAAGAAGGTGAACTTTGTTTGGTTATTGTATTTAAAATGTACCCCTTAAACCATTTAAGGTTGCTGGTTTGTCACTTTACGCAAAATAGACTTATATATCAAGATCGTTTGGTTTGTGTTGTTGCATGTACACTTCAAATTCAGCCAGAATATCTTAATCGACTAGGTTTGACTAGGTAGTTTGTCTCCGTTTTAATAAATTTAGTGCATTTATGGGAACTAGTTTCAGTCAATTCAATTTAGTTGCATGGATATTTGATTATATTGACGTCTCAGTATGCTTTAAGCTTTCAGTGTAACAAAAAGAAATCCAACTAAGGAGATGATATGATACTAGCATTCCTTAAATAAGAAACTTGTCCTAAACTTAACTATAATCAGTTTTGCCTGTTTTGGTCGAAAGGGATAATTCTTGCAAGTAAGGGCAGGATATATAATTAATGAATTAAACAGCACTTATGATAAAATGACATATAAATATTTGACATAAACGTTTTATTTGAAAAACGGCTAGCTGAAGAGAAAAATAAATATAAGTTTTTAATAATGATAATTCAAATTTATAACATAATCGAACAAAGAAATTAATAATTACATACTCATATTTTCACCATTATATATAGTAATTAGATCATTTTTAGTACACCTTAATTGAATTTAATTACAAACATAAATAGTTTTTTTAGACATGAGAAGTTGAGAATTAGAAAATATAATTACGGTATCACGGTCTTCAACAATGAAGTGGTTAGTTGTGCACGGGTGCTTGGTTGTGATCCGGCCTTCCTTCATGGACGGATCCAATGTAGAGCCCGGGATACCCCTCAAAATTTTTTTAGTAGTGTAATTTTTCTAGGAAAATTTTGTTTTATATAGTGTATATATACATTTTCCTTAACCTATAAACACAAACAAACATGTGGTTATACAAACCTTTTATTTTTATTTTCCTAGCTATTTTATCCCACATCGTCAAATGCATGTACTTTCAGACATTTTCATCTATTATAATAACCTGATATCCTCATACTTCATTTGATATCTACTTTGATTCCTACATCGATTCAAGTATCAAAATATATACTTCAATTTTATGTTTATATAACAAGACTTGAGGTTAGCTAAGGAGTCAATTATGTTTTGGGTTTAAAATCGAACCAGGGAAACCCAAGGACCTCGGAAAAAAATTTCGGTCATCCGAAAAAAATTTGGGATACCCCTTTACTTTGACCTTGACTCTGCCACTGCCTCCCTTCCTTTCTCCTACCTTGGTGTGCATGTGGATGCGAATATGACACTTAAGCGCAACTGGCATCTTATAATTGAGAGAGTGAAGTCCAAACTTTCGTTGTGGAAAACAAAGACTTTATCTTTTGACTATTATAAAGTCAATGCTTGACAATCTTCATTTATACCATTTTTCGCTATTTAAAGCCTCTAAATCTGTCATTGATCATCTTGAAAGGTTCCGTAGAAACTTCCTGATGGGAGGTTGTGAAGGCAAGAAAAAAATTTATTGGGTTGGGTGGGATGTTGTTTTGGAGCCGAAGGAGAGAGGTGGTCTTGGAGTTGGTTCTTTGGTATCTTTAAAATGGGCTCTTCTTTTCAAATGGTTGTGGCGTTTCAAAATTGACCTCGATGCGCTTTGGAGTAGAGTTCTTTGTGGAATTCACAATAGTTCTAGGAAACCGATTTAGTTCTGGACTAAAAAATCGCTTAAGAGCACGTGGTTTAGTATAGTTCAAGTAATCGGGGAATTACAAAAAAAAATTGGCATTTTCTCGTCGTCCCTTATTTCTTGGAATATTGGTTCCGGATCCGACCCACTTTTTTGGTTTGAGGATTGGACAGGGCTTAGATCTTTAATTGGCTGCATAGTTCCCTCTCATTTTCGAGCTTGATAAGAAAAAGCATTGCTTTGTTAATGAACATATTTGTTTTGAAGGTGTTAATTGGAGATGGAAAAAAGTCCCTTCCGACAGCAGGGAGATCAACGAATTGGGATTGGATGCGCTTATTAGTTCGTTTTCAGTTACTAATGGCCCTGATGCTTGGTCTTCAAAGATTTCAACAGATGGCTCCATTTATATGCGTGATTTAAGAGTTTTAATCGATTTAAAAGTAACAAAGCAGGTCGACAATCCAACTATTTGGCTTAATCTAGTGCCTTTGAAAGTTATTGTGTTTGTGTGGCGTGCCTCTATGGACATAGTTCCTTCTTTTGGAGCTCTCTCGAGGAGGGGTATTTTGGTCCACGACTCTCATTGTCGGTTTTGCGATGTTGGGAGTGATGAAGCTGATAATCTTCTTATTAGATGCCCTTTGGCACATGAGGTTTTGAATTGCATTATGAATTGGTGTAACTTCACTCCTATTCAGTTTCATTCAATTAGAGAGCTCTTGGAGTATGTTGCAGTCTGGAGTAATTGTCCCAAAAACCAAAAAATCCTCTTGGCTATTCTTTATGGTTATCTTTGGTGCACTTGGAAGACGATAAATGATATAGTGGTCAACAACGTGATAACTAATGTTCCCAAACTGGCGGATAATATTAGCTCGTTAGTTTTTAATTGGGTGAAGCATAGATGAGAGAAAAAGGAGTGTAAATGAGTGGATTGCACTAGAAGAAATCTTGGTATTACCGACGACACCTTTAGCGGCGACACGGAGCAATAGCGGCGACATGTAATTGACTAATTGACGCGTTACTTATTGCCGCTATTGCCCCCTGTCGCCGGTAATGCTCGCAAACGTCGATCCGCATCAAATTACCCCCATCCGTCCGATTTGTTTTCAATCCAATGGTTGTAGAAAAGGCACTGACTTTTCCCTCCAAGGAGTCGTCACTATTACCCTTTTGTCACTGCTAATACGCTTTCATCGCCGCTATGGTTTGATATGTTGATATTTTGTAGAATGATATAATTATAATGCTATTATCATATGTTGGTAATATATTTTGTTTTCATTGTAGTTGGAAATGCTATAAACAATACTAAAAGACCGACATGTTCTGCAACATTGGAAGAGTGGTTTTGTTCATTGCCGCCACCAAATAATGAAGGAAATGATAAGGACGAGTAGTTAATTTAAGATTTTATGAAATATTTTATAATTTGGAAAAATACTTTAAAATGTGCTATGGATTAATATTTTGGATTGGTTGTATGAATTAATATTTCTATAAAAAGTTATTAGATTTTATAAATGCTATATTATTTTTTTTTATAAATTTAATATTAAATAAATAAATAAAATAAAAAATGAAAAAAAAACTAAAAATGTTTTAGCGGCGACATCTTTTGTGGTGACGGACACGTATCAGCGGCGACAAACGATTAGCGGCAACGAACAATATTAGCGGCGACACTCAACCTTTAGCGGCGACTACCGGTGTGTTAGCGACGAAGCAATACCGTCGACACATTTGTAGCAACGTGTAGCTGCTAAAGGTATTAGTGGCAACTTCTCGACCCTTTAGCGGCGACAGGCGTCGCCGCTGTTGCCCGGTCTTCTTATAGTGTTGGGTGTGTTATCCCGGTCTTCTTGTAGTGTTGGGTGTGTTATCCTTTTAATGTTTTGCAAAACTTTGTAGTTCGTTTGTTTGCTTGCCCTGCCTTGTTTATTCTTAGGTTGACATGTTTTAATATATTTTCTGCCGAATCAAAAAAAAGAAAAAAGTGAACTGATCGCGATTAGTGATCTAATATTAAGGAAGATTTAATTTGATTCCAAACTTAATAACAATAATAACTAATGTAACTGATATAATTATAAAATATGAATGTATGGTCAATAACTCATTCAAATATGAAACTGTGAATACCAAAGTACAGTTAATTACAATGTACCAATTCTATCAAACTTTAGTTAATATTTTAAAAAGGGCAACCAACCCCATGCATTAAAAAAATATGATTATGCGATCAATAACTGTATTCTAATTAATTTAATCTAAAACACAAACCGTCTTTCCATAATTATTTTAAACAACCCCACGTGTTATAAAGACGCAATTTGCACTTGGCATAGTTGCATGGCTGATGAAACTTCATGGCAATTCATATAGATAATTACTTATGAATATAAAACAACTTTACTTAAAATTCCTCTCATATATATACATACATCTTATATCTATCTCTCCATCTACCAAAATTTCAACGATAATTCCCATCAAAATCACAAGCGGAATTCAAATTCAAAACCTCACCATCAATAACTTACTTTAAAAATCACAAAACATGTATCAAGGGCCATTCATGACAGAATCTGATCTCTCTTTTCTTGATTCAATCCAACACCACCTTCTCTACGATTCCCAGATCTCCAATCTTTTTCCGGAGACGAGCAGTGGATCATCTGGCAGCAGTGCAACACTAGGGGACGTGGTGGCTTCCGGTGGGTTCGACCTGCCGGTGGTGAAGCTCGAGACATCAGAAGAAAATCAAGAAATGGAAAAGCAAGAAGTTGAGGCGGGACGTGAAACTCACGCGCCTCAGGAGTTTAGGAAGTTTCGGGGTGTGAGGCGGCGGCCATGGGGGAAGTATGCAGCGGAGATAAGAGACCCGGCGAAGCGCGGGGCGAGGGTGTGGCTTGGGACTTATGAAACTCCGGAGGATGCAGCGGTGGCTTATGATCAAGCAGCTTATAAGATTCGTGGGTCTCGCGCTTTGTTGAACTTCCCGCACCTGATTGGAACAAACATGGCGGAGCCAGTGAGGGTAACTCAACGTCGGAAGTCAGTGATGGAGGCTGGGTCGCCGCCATCATCTTCGTCGGAAGACGGAGGCATAAAGAGACCAAGGAAAAGTGATACAGTGGATGATTACTATCTGCCATACTAAGATAAATTATTTGCATCCATTCATGTGATTAATTTTTTCCATTCTTTTAATTAAGAAGCACAGTTTATTTCTTCTTTCAAATTTAATTAATCAATTTGCATTTTTCTAAAATGAATGTAATTACTTTTTGGTTTTTTTATTTAATTTGTGTAAAAAATAAAAGTCAGATCGAATTCAGAACTTCATAAGTGAACATTCTTACATTCATTAGATTTGTGACGTGCTGACGAATTCCGCAACAAGTATATTATTAAATTCAATATATAACCGATAAAATCATTTAGCCAGTAGTTGAATATAAAATATAGTTGTAAATTTAAATACAGAATATTGTCAACCTTCAACGGTCAATGTCGTCTGCAATTTTGCATTGTTCTTGCTTATGTCTTACTTTTTCAGTTTTTCTTCGAGCAGTCACTGCAGCAAATTGTCAATTATAAGAAGGATAGTGATTAAGTTTCTTTGGACATCATTCACAAGTTTAATCGAAACTTGTATTTATGTTAATGCATTTCTGGCTATTCTATTTTAAAGTTTTCTTTCTAGATTTATCTTTATTAAATATATGTTTAATTGGATAAAATCTTTAGAAGTGTATATTATCTTTTAAATAAGTTGATTTCTCTAATTAGAGTTATACATTTATATTAGGCTTTTTAGATTATTATATATAAATAAAACAACTATCATAGAATTATGAAGAGTTAGAGTTTTATTAATAAAAAATCTACATCAAAATCTCATTTTCTATTTATTTTATTCGTTTCGGTTGTAATTATCATTCGATCCAATCATCTCGGGACCACTTGGTATCGGAGCAAATGTATTCATTGCTTAACAGATGCTTCATGGGTGTGGAGTAGTACTTCATGGTGTTGGTCGTCGTCAGGTGGTGAATATGGTCCAAGGAATAATAGAGTCAATCTACGTAATCACATGATATTGATATTAAACGTCTGCAACGATGGAACAAAAAACTCGAGTTTTTTTAATCAAGCCTTGCGTGATGAAGAAACTTAATCAGAAAAGAGCGACCGGGGTGGACGGGAAGCGATTACTATTACAGGGTGTTATTTTGTATCATAATTGACCATTTTATGGTCTGATATACAAAATTGACCATTTTATGATCTGATTCTGTTTCCTTATTTTTATACCTGATTGTTATAGTTTCCTTATTTTCTCTCCCTTATATGTATTTGTATTGAGGGTTCCTCATTATTCAATTGAAGTGTTTTACCAATTTCTTCATGGTATCAGAGCGGCTACTTTTCTTATATTCAAAACCCTAAAACCACTGTTCCACCATGACCGGTGGTGAGCAGAGTAAACAGAAGAATGAGGGAGAGTCCATAGACTCAAACTCACCATTTTACATACATGCTTCCGATTATCCTAAACAGATGCAAGTAAACGAGGTGCTGACCGATTCCAACTACAATGATTGGGCACAAGAGATGACAAATTTCTTGTTTGCCAATAACAAGATTGGCTTTATCAATGGCTCGATAAAGAAACCAGAAAAAAATGAATCTACTTACATGGCCTGGATGTGTTGCAATGCAATGATAAAGGGTTAGCTCACCATAGCGATGGAGAAGGAAATACGTGGCAGTGTCAAGTATGCTAACAGTGCTGCTGCGATCTGGGATGATCTAAAGGAGAGGTTTGGCAAGTAAAGTGCACCGAGAGTTTATGAGTTGAAACAGTCACTCACTGGTACTCGACAAGATGGGACTTCTGTCTCTGCCTACTACACAAAGTTACGAGGACTATGGGATGAAATACAATCTGTATTACCGATTCCCCATTTCACGTGTGAAGGATGTAAGTACGGGCTTGGAAGAAAACTTGTTGAACTCAAAGAGAAGGAGAGAATGTACGAGTTCTTGATGGGTCTTGACAACGAGTTTTCTGTGATACAGATCCAGATCTTAGCAACAAAACCAACACCAAGTTTAGGGACGGCTTACCACCTGGTCGCAAAGGATGAACAATAAAGAGCTGCTTCCTTTAACAAGAAAACGACCCAAGAAGCGGCTGCCTTTCAAGCTTTTGTTCCAGCCAAACGTGAAGGACAACAGCAAAAGAAAGGGGCACAAAGGACCAACAAAGGTGCTCTTGATAACAAAACTGAACATTGCACCTCCTATGGGAGAGATGCGCACAACCGGGAAGGGTGTTTCATGTTGGTGATTTTAGTGTCATCATGTCATTTTAAGTAACTGTAACTAACATGTGAGCTAAGGGGCTTCATAATTTATACTCTAATATATGTATGGGGGTTGTGCAGAGTGCACACATGTATAAGATCGAATTAGAAGTCGGTTCGATGACTAGTCGGGGGTCCGGGGGCAACGTCCCCGGGTCCGGGGTTTCCAAAGGGCCAGCACCCCTTTGGTGGGGTCTAGGGGCAGCGCCCCAAAACCTCACCGAATTTTACATATGGGAACATAGCGGAAAATTCAATTTCTTGAGGGTGATTATGGTAAAACTAACGAAACTCATTAGTTTTGGTAGCCCTAAATCCTCATTAAATCCATATTAACATTACTTGTTTCCAAAGCAACTAATGACGGTCCAACCCTAATGAAACCCTAATCTTGTTTAATATATACGCAACTATTCCTCTTCAGAAGAGGGTGACGATCTTAAGCTCTCGTTTTTTTATCATACTTTCACAGAATCCTGTAGCATATTGGCTTATGTTTTCTGTGCCTAGAAACGTAAGTGTCCACTTGG